ATATCAAAGGTTTATTCCATGCGTAGCTCTCTACTATAAAGGTGCTACCAATTTTATGTAAGTTTTTACACGGTTATTCTGGACTCAAGTTATTCTGGAGCTGCAGTATGAGCGTAACCTGTCAAATTGGCAGTTTATTATTCTCATTTAAAGTATTTGCGAAGCATTTTTGCAGTTATGTACCTTTACAGTCTTTGCTGAGAGCAGATAAAGAGGCGCATAAACTTTGGTGGAGAAAATTAAAGATAAGGCTTGGTGTAGAAAAAAAACAGTTCTGCTACGGTTCTAGGCAACTTTTCTAAAGAACTGAACTACCGGTTAACTAATGTGACCTATTTTCTGCTTTAAAATATGTACTGCTTTCACTTTCTGTCGTTATCTTTATCATACCTCTTCATTACTCAGCAGAACTCTCCACATAGCTGCAGCTCGAATGGTGAGGGATTCTATTCCACTAAGTTTCGCGCTACAGCGCTCGATTCAAAAAAGGGATTGGAATCGATCAACAGTGATTGCTCATTGGAAAATTTTATTATGAATAATTTTTTATAACTTGTGTTTGATATTTTAAGAGTATTACTTCATGTTAAGATGCCATGGTTTTGCCATATGAGTTTCTTATACGAACTTTCAGTTCCTCCAGCCGAAAATATCTGCTTTCTTTTGCTTTGAATGTTGTTTTTTTTTCAAACCTAGGAAGCACGTGTGGAGCATTTCATTCAGTGCAACTGTGTTGTAGTAACTCTCTCCGAGTTTTGGACTTCTAATCTTTTTAAGCTGCTTATTTTTTTACGGCCCAGCTTTTCGAGAAGCACGCCTCATTGCATTCGTTGGCGGGGAAAATCAACGATAAGAATTTTCAGAAGTAGAACTCTTACAAGCTGTATTAAATTAATTTTAAAAGTGCTCATTAAATCACTTTCCAAAATCGATTACGAGATCATAAATGATGAAAGTTTTCCCAAGTAGTTGGAGGATCACTCGTTTTGAAATTCTTTCGAACGGCTTCGATTGCTTGTAATGATAGACTAATCAGCACCGTAGCATTTGCTGCTCATCATGACTGACTAAAAGGCAAACAGCGGGAAGGCTTATTGAGTAGTTTTTAAAGGTGGTAAATCCAAATCCCTGAGAATAGGAAGTCGTGGTTTTGAGGATACAGTAGATAAATATGATACTATTACTTGTTTTTATTGGTGAAAGGAGTAGCATTTAATAGTGAAAGGTAAGAAGTTTTTTGATGATGACAGATAAGTGCTTAATAACCCTACGTGCAAATAAAATAGGAAGACTTAATTAAAAATTCTCATGGTTTAGCGTTCAAAAATTAGCGCTTAAAGCTTTTTGGCGAGTTACATCAATTAACGAGGTTTCAGGGATTTCTTATGGCTGTTAGGTTCTCTCCAAAAAACGATGCAATAAAAGTCAGTCAATACCGGGACCAACGGTTCAAGGTTCTTTCGTCAAATCTTTTTTTCATAAAATTAGTATCTTTTTTGAAACTGATCGCTGCAGAGCGAAATTTTGAGTTTAAAAGAGAGGAGTTGTAATGGTGAAGTAACATATGATATTTGGTTTGTATAGCTTGTTTAGAATAATTTACGTAGCTTTCTAAAAGAAATACTTTTAACTTTAGGGGTCAGTTCAAGAGCAGGAAAAACGTTTGCTTAATTCATCAACATTATACATCGGAAATCTTTCTTACTACACCACTGAGGAACAGGTTATCAACCTTTTATTAATTTTTACTGATGAGCTTTGTGTAATGCTTTATTGTGTAATAGAATTTAAAAACTGTAACGAAAAAAGGGTTTCTGAATTGAAAAAAAATTTTTTTTTCTAATCCGAGAATTTTTTAAAGGTTTATGAACTTTTTTCTCGCACAGGACATATCAGGCGAGTTATTATGGGGGTAGATCGTTTCAAACGGACCCCCTGCGGATTTTGTTTTGTCGAGTGAGTACATTAAGTTCTATCTTTCCTTCTTGGTTTTGTTAGAGATGTTTTCTGCTTGGTATTCTATTGCACTTTCAAATGATGGTGCTTATAAAGTAATGTGGCTTTTTTCTAGGTATTACCTAAGGAAGGATGCTGAAGATGCAGTGCGATGCATCAATGGTACCAGATTGGATGACAGGATTATAAGAACTGACTGGGACGCCGGTTTTGTAGAAGGACGTCAGTTTGGTCGTGGTAAACATGGTGGACAAGTAAGTTAGCTATTCCGTTAGAAATTTTAAGGTCTAAAATGAATGCAAAAGTTTTTTGCAGTAGCCTAATTCACTAACTGGTGAGGCATTATAGTAAAGTTCTAGAAGAAAGTGGCTTTGAGAAGCCATTTTACGGAATTCCTATCCTTTCGAGTTCTAGAAAGTTTTCTGGTATTAGGAAAGTAGCTTGAGGTTTGTGTAGGGCATTATAAGGCATTTTTTGAAAGGGTTTTGCGTCTTATAGTTTCGCTTAGAATTTCCTTTCATTAATTTGAGTTATGTGTTCTTTCAAATACATTTTTTTATTGAGTAATGCTTTTAGCAACATATATTATAAGACGGCCAAACCGGCTTGTCTCTGCCTTTTTTAATTGAATTTATTTGTAATTATGTAATTAAAGACCTTGGTTCATTGAATTAAGAAATCACGCTATGATTTTAGAAAATTAGTGGTTGTTTCGAAGGTATCTGGTGAAAACTGGCAACTTTTTGTATTTAAACTGTAAATTTTTGTATAGAGTGAGCGTACAATGCATAATACTCTTTGATAATTTATTCAAAGAAGGTTCTTGGCAAGAATTTAAGTTATTATTTGTGCGAAGATTTTTATAAAGATAGATAAGTAACATTTTCTGATGCTGACTGTCTGACTATCAGTAATAAGTACAATCGTGGATTGACATGAAGATTTTTTTGTTTCTTTTACAATTCTCTTTTGCAAATCTGTTTTTTAAAATTATTTTGGTTTAGGTACGTGACGAATATCGAAAAGATTTTGATCCTGGTCGAG